AGTTTTTGTTTTATTTTAATTTAATTTATATTATTTTGTATTATTTTTGCATTATTTGTATCAAATTAATTTATATTGTATCATTTTTTATTTTATTTCAGTTTATTTTAATTATTTTATTTAATATAATTGAATTTTATTTTAATATTTTTTATAATTTTATTTAATTTAACTTAGTTTCAATTGTATTCATTTTTTATTTTATTTTAGTTTCATTTATATTATTTTTGACTATGCTATTTTATTTTATATTAATTTTTCCCATTTTATTTAATTTAAATTAACTTAGTTTATTAAATATTTATTTTTTATTTTATTTTGGTTTAATTAATATACTTCTATTTTATTTTGCTTGATTTTTCATAGTTTATTTTATTTTATTTTATTTTATGTTATGTTTTTCTTATTTTATTTAATTTTAGTTGACTTAGTTTACTTTGATTTTTTTTATATCATATTTTATTATATTATTTTTTTCTTATTTCTAATTTATTTTATTTTGTTTCATTTTATATTACATTATATTTTATTATGTATTATTATATTTTTTAAATTTTTTTGTATTATTTTATTTAATTTAACTTAGTTTGTTTTGCATTGTTCTATTTTATTTATGTTTCTCTTCAAGTTATTTTATTAAATTTATTTTTTCTTATTGATTTTAATTTAATTTAACTTAGTTTATATTGAATTTTTTTTTTATTTTTTTAATGTCATTTTATTTTATCTTTAAATTTTCTATTTTATTGTTTGTTTTTTATTTTATTATATTTTATTTTAATTTAGTTTAAATTTTTTTTTTTATATTTTATGTATGTGAATTTTATCGTATTTAATTTTACTCTAACTTATTAATTATTATGCATTATTTAGTACATTTTATGAATGAAATACCATACTTACCCCCCTGCCTTGGTTTCCGTAATTAAAAATACGCTTGATTTTGATTTATAAATTTTTATTAATATATATTTTTTTAATTTCAACTGTTAAATAATGATATAATTTTTCATAAGTAGAATAATATATTGTGTATTATACGATTTGTGCAAAAAATATTTTATTTGTTCTTTGGAACATGTTTATAATTTAAATATATACATTACATATATATTTTTATGCTGTTAAGTACCTATACAATTGCATGAGCATTATACAGAGTAGGGGTAAACACGATCCGGTTAACATTATTGATATTAAAAATTTCATATTTAGCTGTATACGTTTTCAGTCACAATACCGAAAAAATTTTTTTCCAAAATATAAAACCAAACGGGTAATTGCATTCCACTTATATATTTAAGACCAGGCTCGTCTAAAATATAAAAAAAAATATATTTTTTTCTGTAAATTTGCTAGAAACATCCCTTAGAAATAAAATAGAATTAGTACCGAAGTTCAGCAAGACCAAGAGGTAAGTAAAGAATGGAGAAGCGCGCATCACGCCTTGCGGTAAATCTGGCTGTACAAATACTTTAATCGCATTTTTCTCGAAACTATGTTTTTTCAACTGGATGACACTCTTATGTGGAACCTATTGAGCTTATCAAGAAATGTAGTTTTACTCTTAAAAAGTCCCTCCATGGTATTTAAGAATTTTACATAGAATTAAGATAGAAAAAAAGAGTTAAATTTTTTTTTTTTTTTTTTGGTGAAAATGTTTAATTTTAGCTCCGGTCATACCCAATGTGATACAGATTAAGAAAACGTTTTGATTTTTGCTGTCATATGATTCGTTTTACGGTTAACGTGCTACTCACCAACCAAAGGGACGTATTTTAGCTGTAATTTTAAGAACCGCCAATTTTTCCCAATTAATATTACCAACAATAACTTTAATTTATAAAAAAAAAAAACATTTTAAATAAATAAAATTTGCTTGGGTAGAACCTGGCCTTAAGTAAATACTTAATAGGCAACTGGTACCGCCTAAAAATGTGTTTGTTCAAAAATAAAAATTAATTGCGAATTAAAGGAAAATATTCTTATAATATTGTATAACCGAATTTGTTTACACTTTTGCAAAAACAACGATGCACCGATCGATGATTACCCTTAATGTTTTCATTTTATAAAGTAAATTTTTTTTTTTTCAAATTTTTTACATAATTTATATTTTTGTAGTTTATTTAAAAAAAATTCTTTACATAAATAATGCTACTCAAATATTTATATCTTTATTTATATAATATGTACTATAAGTATATATGTATTTGTATAGTACAATTTTCCTTAGTGAACTAGACTACTTAATGTCAATGTCTGACAACGCCGTCAGAGAGTGTGACGACGTTTTCCTTACGCTTTAATTCTATTCATACATTTTCATAAAGCTTTTTTGCCATTGCTCTTGTTTTGGTTTCGGCGAGTGTACCGAGACCAAAACGTTTAGAAAGTTTATTGATTTTTTTTTTCTTGTTTACAAATATAAATAGAATACAATAGAAAAGTGTGTATGTATAACAGTATTTAATTGGAAATAAGAACGCAATCTACTGCTACAGTAACGCTACGGTATGGTATATACGGTTACATACTTATTTGTGTAATTGGCCACTTCATTGATTATTTATCCTTACAAATATATATATAAATATATATATATATATATGTATTGTTTCTATCTTTTGCTTTGCTTCAAATTTTAACATAATTTTTTTTCAACAAACTACTTTTAAACATTTTTCATTAACAAAAATTCAAGTAGAAAATTTCAACAGTAAACACTATTCAAAGTTATTATTATTTAGTTAGTTGTGTGTGTATATATTTTAAAAATCTATAAAATACAAGTTAATATTTTCCGCTTACATAAAAATTTGCTTGTTTAGCTTTATACAAATGTAGAGTACAATATGTTTTTCGAAAGTTTCGTGTAAAATTGAAAAACAATATGAAATATATTTCTTTATTTTCGAAATTTTGTATTTTAGTTATATTCATACTTTTCTGCACTTTATTTAAAGATACCATCTTTTACTTTTGTTGGCTGCTAAAAATTTATACCTATTTTTTATTTTATTTATTTTTATGAAACTTCGTGTGTTTTTTTCCTTTTAACTCAATTGTGCTATATTAATTTTAATAGCTTTTTATTAGTTATAATTTTTATATTTTTGCTTCTTAATTTATTTATTTTATTTAATTTTTTTTTTGGCTCTTAGTACTTAGTATTTAGTTATTTGTTATTTTACTTCATTTTCTTTTTATTTTCTATTTATTTTGTTTCGTTTATGCCCTTGCTTATGTTGCTTGATATTTCCCTTTTTAATTTACTTCTTAGACAACTAGCACTACAAATCTTGTTAATTTACAGTTATAATTGCCAGTTTTGTTTGTGTATATTCATTAAAGCTTTCCATTGTTCCAAGTTTCTTAGTTAATTTAGTATGGAAATACAATTGTCCTTCCATTTTAGTTACTTCTGTTTATAAATTCTATTTAGTAAACTCTACAACTAATCGTTTTGAGTAGGATTTTTATGTACATAGTTACCTTAGAAGTAGCTTAATGTAATATTTTTGATGAAAAATAATAATAATTGATTTCAAACAAAAACAAGCATTTTATATTACTTCATTTTTTTCTCTTCTATATTATTTTATTACTGACGGCCGCGGTTGCCGATTGGTTAGAATTGCGCACTGCCATTCGGAAGGCCCTAGTTCAAATTCTGGTGTCGTACTAACATCCAGAAAGTTATAGAAAATTAATTTAAATAAAAAGTCAATATCAGTTTTCTAATTGCGGTCGCCCCTCGGCAGGAAATGTTAACCTCTCCGAGTGTATTTCTGACAGGAAATAAAAAGCTTTCTTATTAAAAACCGTCAGCCGTTCGGAGGCTGCTTTGTAAGCGGTTGAAAAGCGCCAATTATTTATATATATATATGGGTATAATATTTCATTTTATTTCTGTTAAATTTATTTAATTTAATTGAATTTTATTTAATATACTGTGAGCAAAAAGTTAAGTGAATTTTTAATTAGAGCTTCGCACATTCAATATTTCGGGTTAATTCTTTTTTTAATCTCTACAGCACTGTATCGTATCACGATAATGCACTCGTTCTTTGTGACCACTTCGTTAAAAATTCCACAAATATCGTTACCCAACCACCGCATTCGCCGGACTTAGAACCATATGACTTCTGGCTCTTCCAAAAACTCAAGAATCTATTTCGAGGACATCGGTTTGAGTCAACTAAGGAGATTAAACGTGAATCGGCGCACTCTCTGAACGTTCCAGAGCGTTGGCATTGGCATAGGTGCATTGCAATGGCAGGGGACTGTTTTGAAGGCGACGAAATCGATGTAGAAGAATAAAGAAAGGTTTTTAATTTTAAAAACAAATTCACCTTACTTTTTACTCACAGTTTATTATTACTTTCAGTTAATTCTTTCGTGTTTTGTTAATTTTTATTTTATTTAGTTTTGTTTTATTTAGCTCACTTTATTTTATATTAAATTTCTTATTTAATGTTATCCTTTTTTTAATTTTAATTATATGATTTTATTTTAGACAAATTTTATTTTATTTAATTATTTTTATGATTTGCCTATTTTTCGTTATTTTATTATATTATATAAATAAATTGTATTTTGCTTGGTTCATTTAATATTTTTCTATTTTAGTAAGTTTGTATAATTTCATATTTCTTTATTTATGTCCTTTAATTTAGTTTATTTTCTTTTTAATTTTTATTTAATTTTATTACTTCACGGTTTGTTCACTTGTTTTTGTTTATTTTACGATTTAGTTTATATTTTTTTATTTTAGGCAATTTATTCGAATTAAAAATAATGTTTATTTATTTAAATTTATTCAATGATATTTAATTTTGTTTTATTTTATTGTAATAATTTTATATTATTTTGCTTAGTATTAATATATTTAGTTTTGTTTTATTTTATTTAACTAAAATTTTTATTTCATACTTAATTTTTATTAATTTTCTTTTCGTTTAAATTTATTCAATTTATTTTAATTTAATATATTTTATTTTATTTCATTATTATATATTTATTAACCCCATGTGACCTGACGGAATTTCATAGAAAGACGAATGTAACTATAACCACCATAATTATCAAATTGGACAAATATTTTTCCTTAGCTATTCGAAACTAAGTTCACAGATTGGTCAAAAATAAGGTCTTTTTATAGGAAATATGTTTATTATATGACCTTTAGTCGTTATAAAATTCCTGTAGATGTATGTGTTCTGTATTCTCTTTAATGGCCTACAAATTTGATCTAGAGTTCAGCGACGGGACAAAGGCAATCTGTGTACTGGACCATCTGCTAAGGCGTTCACTCTGAGCCGCGGACATGCAAATTTTCTCGTCTTCAAGCTTGTCCATTTTAATAGAACTCTTTTCATGATGCAGTGAAATATTAACACTTTATTTTTAACGCAGAGCTCAAACTCAATCTCTTAAGATCTTCGAGTATCCTTCATGATCATGGCGATGCTCTAAAATTGGAGTCAATAGGTTTGAAATAGATGATTTTACACTGGTCAGCATGATTTTGAACAATTCAACATCGCATACAAGAAACGATAGACCATTGTTCGCGAAAGCTCAGAGACAAATCAGAGAAAACTCTGACGAAGTTGCGACATTGATTACATTTTATCCTGACATTTTTTGCAATATTTTGGGTACGAAATGCGCGGATGTAAAATTTGTTCCAAAATTATTGAATTTAAAACAACAATAGAGGCATATGGAAATTGCTTACCCCTGAGCAATGTAAATGAATTATAGAAGGGATTACTGGAACGTATTATAATAGGTAATGGCCGGTGGATATATGGATATGGTGTGGAAACTACGGTTCAATCATCGCAGTGGAGGCATTCTATGCAAAATAGAAAAGAACTTGACAAGTGTATTCGTACGTTTAGATTATGAATGGGATTTTTTTTTCAAACTTGTGGTTTTCAATAAAATATTATATATTTTATTTCCGGATCTGGTCTTGTTGACCGCTGTTACTTGATTTATACTCATTTTGGTTTTCCATTTGCTAGAAGACTTTGTTTAGCGATGCAGCTGACTTTTAGTTCAATCGGCTAGCAAATAAACAATTGTTACATTTGGAATGATGGTAATGCTCAAGTCAAGTTTAGACGGTAAATGATCTTTGATTCCCTTACCATGGTGCTACATGTTGTGCAGCCAACTACTCAATCAATCTATCGGAGCAGAATGTAACGTGGTCTTCATATAATTTAACACGGCTAGACTACTTTATGTGGAGCTATGTGGAGCCGCTTGTGTACGAAGAAAAGCCCGAGTCGATTGATGCCTTGGTAGAGAATTTTCGGAGCATTATTTCTGCCACAATTGTTGCAAAATAGGGTCTAAAATTGAACCGCTCGGTTGGGAATTTATTTGAGCCAGCCACGGCGGTCACTTGCCCCAAGTAATTTATAAAACAACATGGCAAACTCTTAAAGTTATCATGAAGTTAATTTATTGGCCATAATATTAAAATATTTACATTTTGTTTCCTCTTGAAAACACACTTTGTAGCATGAATTGCTGCCAGGGAGCCAAACTGTTCTTATATTCAATGTCCGCATGAAATACCCACAATAGTGGGAAGAAAGTGTGGTCCCTACTCTACTAGCTCTCACTTCTATACTGGCTCGCGATTTGTCTCCGGGAAAATATTCTATCGATTCTCGAGCCTGCATATTAGTCAGACTTGTCCGCTGGTGACTTTTGTCTATTTATAAAAGGAAAAAGAACCATTAAAGACCAACAATGTATCACACCCTACATTGACATTGGAAGGACACAGCTGAAGGAAATCAACGTTCTTTCAAAGATTGTATTTGAGATGAGCTATGGGGATTGGAAAAAGTGCTGGGGGAGTATTCTTAAGAAGGGCAAAACATCAAAACTGATGAATAAAAAAATATTTCGTTAATAAATAGAAAAACTTTGTTATTTTTTGGACACATCTCGTACATAATTGGGCCGAATTATGATTAATTTTGGTAGTGTGTTAAGTCAATTAATAGTTAGTTTTAAAGAGGCTGAATAAACAATTAAATTCTGAGCAAACAAATTGACTTTGTTATTATTAGAAAGAAAATATAAATCGAGAAATTGATTTAATCTTATTTTATATTAATCACAAACTTGATTAATCATTTGATTCGCCTTTAATTTAATTAATTTTTTAGTTATTATAAAAGTTGTAATCAATAACGGAGTTAATTAATTTTTTCCACTAGTTAATTGTTCTACGATCAATCTTAAAAATAGTTTTTCAATTAATCATTCGTTTAATCAATTGATTAATTGCGTAATCTTAGTTTTGAGAAATACAAATGAACTATAAATTTAAATATAACTACAGTAAGATATAAATATATAAAATATTTAAGTAGAGAAGAGTAGGGTACAAATATCTACAATTAATTTAACATACATACGATATATGTATATATGTACATCATATTAGTGTATGACAGCTGTAAATAGACGTGGCTTGTAGAAAGTAACAAGTGCTAGTAGGAAACAATTCATGAGAGTAGAGTTAAATTGAAATATTTTTTTTTTTTTTTGATTTTATATATTTTAGTTAGTTATAATTATAGTTTTTATAGACATACATAGTGAGCAAAATTTGCCGCCTTCCTTTAGATGAGAAACTGCTTTAAAAATTATTTTCGTAAAAATATCGAAATTCAAAGCATTTTCGCATAAAATTGAGTTACATAATGAGTGCATGAGTTTGTATGTATTCAATTTACATAAATACAGTATTTACACCTGCTCTGCCGCCTCATCGAGTACCATCGAATGTAAATCCATCGCCGAGCGCGTTTTACGTGGCGGCCGTGGCATCATGAACTGATTCGGGCTGGGACCAACAAAGACCGAGTTCTGTCGTGGACGTGAAGCTGCAGCATAGCCTGCAAGTAGAAGAGAAGACGACGAAACGATAAGGAGATTAACATTAAAGGAAATTACAATGAAACAAAAATTAAAAATAACTTTTTTATTATATATTTTTTTATTATCTTACTTTTATTTTAACATGCCATTGGCATTAAGTACGTCATAAAAACATTAAAATAAAAGTAATTACAAAATAATGCACTGCAATTGACATTTTTTACCTCTTTTCTTGCCACTTTGCTTAAAACGTATTCAACTTTAATCTGCACTTTAGGGCGCGCCACATGTTGCTGTGGCATCCGCCAAAATATATGCATTTACTCGCATGTATGTATGTGTAAAAGTGTGAAGAGATACGGAACCGTTGCAACAAAAGTCGCAGTTAACAAAGGCAACAACGATGCAATGATCACATGCACTCAGGCACAAGTGATTGCTCTTTTACTCCTTCTGTAACACTTTACAGCAACAGAACTGCAACAGCAACACACTACCGCATTGTCACGCAATTTGCATTTAATAAGCAAAAATCGAGGGAAAATGGAAAAAAATGAAAAGGTAGTGTGAAGCAGATAAAGTAGACGACACTCCGTAGCTCATTGTGAGTTGAGTTGACAACAAGTTTTTTCCATTTGCTCACATTGTTGACACATGCTCGTGTCGTCCATTACGCTTACCGCAGTGTAACCACTGGCGTAATGAAAGCAACATGGTCGGATATGAAATGATAAACAAAATGAAAAAAAAAGAATAAGAAAAAGTGGCAGTTTTCTTATTTTTAATGAAATTATACTTATTTACGGCGTTTTGACCTAAATCCTTATATCTGAACAAATCGATTGTATGAATGCTAAAAGACATGATATTTAGAAAAAAGTACAATTACATTTTTTCCCCCGTTACTGTTGCTCTAACCTCATTCTCGATAAAGTAAGGTCTAATGACCCTGCCCTATTAGAAACCGTCCCAAACAGTTACACATTGAAAATGAAGAGACTTTTCAACAAAAAATCTTGGGTTTTCCATCGGGGTGGAAATGAGTCTCATCAGTCATGATCGATAAAAATCCAAATCATTTTCATGAATTTCAAAGACCAAAAACGGTTTAATGACGTTTGTTGAATGCTCAATTCCAAGGGGCGATGAGGAATGGACAAATCTGGGCTTTCTTCAAAACTGTGGACAACAGCAGCAATAAAGTCAATTCAAAACTGAAATTCTTTTTTCTGTATGTTTGATGTCGTCGCTATAATTAAAGCCGTTATCAGAGAGGTAAAGAAATTGGCGAAAGCTAATCTTCACTCCGACAAAAGATTTCTCCACTTTCTTTCTCATAATGTTTCAACGGATTAACTTAGATGGGGCTCGAAGTACCGGAGGAGGATATTCCAAAAAAAAATGAGGGAAATTTTTTAACTCGTCGCCTGCCGCCATCCAAGAAGTGCTTTAAGTGAAAAAAAGATTCGAAGAAGATGGGTATTTGTGAAATTTACTACCTCGTTAGAGAATCTCTGGCTCCGAGTATTGATTGGTATTCACCCCTTTTGAGGAACATCTAGATTGAATATGTTTTAAAGTTCCTCAATGTATGGGTGTTTCGCACTCTTTGAATGAGCACATGCAATGCAATGACATATCAAAATAGTCAGAAAAGTTGACGGCCGGAATACTGCAGCTATGCTAGTTACGTCAAAACGCTCGGATGGGCGAAAACAGTCCAACCGTGAAAGTTTTTGATGCAGTACCCACCAGTGAAAGCAGAAGAAGATCTCCACTCCTTCGATATACATAGATCAGGTGGAGAAGGACGTGACTACGCATGGAGTTTTCGTTTTCAATAGTCGGGAACAACTAAAACATAATGGACTGAAATGCTATGGGTGACTCGGCTATAGTAGCAAACGCGTTGCTTCACAGCTTCTTCAGGTGTTTATTCTGTATTTTTTAGAAAGGAAAAGAAGAAACCATTTGACATCACGACGGTTGACACTCCCAGCAATCGATACTTTGAACGATCCTAATCATCTTTTTTGAGGAGTGAACTTGTGGACGATATTCTGAAGCTAATTTCCAATTCTTTTTGTTTTTGCCTGATTTGTGGAATGAAATTATTTTCAATATGATGTCTGTCAACATATGGAATTGATTTGGAAACACTTTCGTTCTCATTAAAGAGGATCGACGAAACTTTGTTATTTGAGGTAGCTTTAGTATGAGTTCATTTGGTTTTGTTGTAATTTTAGCGCCCTGTTTAATTTCCAAATCCTTCTTCTGGATGTTTTCATTGTGTCCTCTCACTTTACCCCATTTTTGCCATCATAAATACATCTCTCTGGTGTTGGTTTTCATCAACCGTTTTCTTCTCATGTGGTATTGAACGGCGTCGGGACGGCGAATATGCGTTCCGAATAACGATGATAAATTTTACGAGTAGACTTAAAATTGGATTCCATTTTTTTCAACGTACTCTTTAAGCTGCTGGTATCTCGCCTGAAATATGTATGTACTCCTATACCAGGTTCGTGGTGGGATGATGTACAAGGAAGCACTCTAATCGCCTTTTTATGATCAACGGCAATAGGATATATTGGTAACGTAATATTCATTTCAATTTCATCATCTCTTATAGAAATGCGCTCTTTTAGTTCTCTCTTCACGTTTTCATAAAGCATAATTCTGCAACTTGCCATTTTACATACCGCACAGCCGAGTCGAGTGTTATGACTGTCATAGAATATACAAACACGAGTATTTTCTGCGACTGGAAGAGGAATATGCATATGCATTGTGTTTACATGGCGCTCTCACTCGATAGCTTGCTATGGACGGTAGGTATGTAAGATGGGCAGTTGCAGCATAACTCGTCGCTGTGGTATTTCGGAGGCTAAACATGCCTTTAATGTGTCAGGAATTTCTTCAAAAAAAAATACGTACTTCTACATATATCGACGAGTTTTTGTGTTTCTACTCCTATATGTTGGTTGGTTTTTTTCGAATGGATCTGTTTTCCGTATAAGAATACTTCTCGCATAGCGTTTATATATCTAAAGCGTTGATTTCTCCTTTCCAACAGCTCGCACTTGCTGCTTTTGCGGTGCGTTTTTAATTTGCTTTTCCTCTTTTCTTTTAGCTAAATTTTGCTTAAGTTCTGCTATGACTTTTTCTATTATAACAGCTTGTTCTGTTGGTATTTCTGTAAAGAACCATGCTTTCTCCGACTTTAGTGTGCTCTCCACCAAGGCATAATTATAATCAAATTTTTTCTCATGAAATTCTTGTGTTTCGTGCAGTTTTCAGCGTTTAATTAATTTTCTAATATTTCCTCTCCTGTGGTGTTCGAGGTTCATTTTGCACCTTCCGGTAGGATGAACGACTGGAGCTCTTACGCCTGGGTTTTTGTTCAGCATCTGTACAGTCTGCTTTAGGTCTCGTATTCTGCTTCACTTACCCAATCAATGAAGAAGAATAGACGAATAAATACAAAATTGTTTCTTGTGAGTGAAATTGTCTTTATTCACAAAAAAAATCATTAAGCACAGATTTTTCAAAATTTTATTTAACCGACTAAAAAAACATAAAAATGTAACGGTTGTTTTAAAAAATTCAAAATTTCCTTGCATTCAATTATTATTACGCTGACATTACTGGGCTTCAAGCTGCACTCGCAAGCGGTTGGCAATTTAACCATTTCCTTCTTCAATTCGCCATCAACCAACACCACCATGTTGCGATAGCTGAACTGTTGTTTACATTTTGTAGTCTCGCTTACGCATTCCTCAATCAGAACACCCTGTTTGAACTCTTCCTGTTGTACGATCAACAACCATTTGCCATCTTTGGACTGAGCGCTTTCGGGATATATAAGAGTACTTTTACTCGTGCAAGTTGTCTCCACCTCGTGTTCTTCAATATTCATACGACTGGCAATCACTTCCTCCATCGGCAGCACATCATCTTTAAAATTGTTTTTGAATTCATCAAACTGCTCTGATCGTATTGTCTTCATCTTCGCCGAATGACTAATTACTTCTCTGCAATATGTTTTGCCATCATTCGGTCCAGGACATAGAACGATTTCATTCAAGGAGGTGATATTATATACCGCCGTACCAGTGTCCATAACGAAGATTTCTTGTATTCTACGTATTAACTCCGCATCGGCATAGGGCTTGGATAACGGTCGACCAGTGATTTGTGGTGATATCAACAGAATTATGAGTGTTGATAAAAATGTCGTAAATTTTCTTTGAATTTCTAGTAACATTTCAGATTTTTAATTTTAATTGTTATTTTATTTTAGTTTATATTTTTTTATTTTATTTTCTTTTATTTTATTTTTTTATATTCTTTTATTTTATTTTTTTATATTCTTTTATATTATTTTATATTTTTATTTAATTTGTTTTTTAAGAAATATTTGGGTCCAAAGTGTGTTTTCTTTTTTCAGAATTTGTAATTTATCTGTCACTGTTATCTCAAAGACTGATGACTCCTCGCTATTTTTCAGCTCTTTTATGCATATCAGCTCATGATCATTAAACATTTCTTTTGTGTGTCGGCGCGATCTCGCGTTTTTTGTGCTAAAATGGTGCTGGAATTCCCGGAAATTAAGATAATTAAAATTATGTGTAAACATTTCAGCCGGGCTGCAGCGTGTTTTAACCTTCGCCCAAATTGATTTAGGCATTGTCGTGTCTGAAATATGCGTACTCTTAGGTAGAGCAATAATTTTTTCCGTGACGAATAATAAATCTCAGTAGATAAAAATGTAGTCTCACTTTAACCGTTTGCACTCAGAACCTTTTTCGAGCGGCGCGCCAGCAACTCGAGGTGTTTCTTAGCGTATTTGGTGAATTCCCTAACTCAAAATGATTACATTTTGAAGATGATGATCGCTGAAACGTTACTCTTATACGTATATTCGTAATTGAGAGAGCGAAACACGTAATAGGGCTGTCGTGGAAATGCCGTCTAAAAACCCGCGTCGAAGAAAGTAAACGATAACAGTTAGTCC